AATGGAAAATTGGAAAAAAATAGGCTACACCGATTTTATTTGTTTGCTTTCTTGCGTTAAAATATCAACGATGCCACTCAGATTTTTGATTTAATATTGACATTAAAGGAAAAGGACATTTTCTGCTTGGCCATGATAATGCTGTGCCACAAAAAAAAAATTTTTTTAATAAATTAAACATTTGTCCATAAAAAAAAATTTTGGGGGCTTATATAAGCTTATAAGCTTAAAGTCTGCTGATGATAATAACCAAAGCATAAGCTTAAAAATAAGCTAATGATATAAGCTTATAAGCTTATGAACGTATATATACAATCATTTTAATTTCGTGCAACTTCAAAAATCAAAAAAGGTTACCGAAAATGCTAATTAAATAATTACGATAAGCATTACATTTTACCAAAAAAAAATTTCTTTGAACAAAAAAAGAAAAAATAAGTTACACCGATTTTATTTGTTTGCTTTCTTATTGTAGATCAGGTCTCGGTTCAACCGCGGTTTCAACTATCTCATGGTTTAATATTAACTGCAACGTTCGACTTGGTTAATTATAACAACCGCGATTTTAATAAACTGTATTGCGATTGGTTAAACGGCGGCTGAGTCAACCATCTCTACTAATTAAAAAATAACCTTATTTGTATATATGACGCAATTTTATAACTCATATCAACCTGGTCCTGGTCGGGCCCCATCACAAGCATGTGTTTTACAGCCTAAATTGGTTTCGTCTTATTATTATAGGCCCAAAAACGTTTCAGTCTACAGTAATAATAATGGGACAAAACTATTTTAAGCTGCCGGGCCCAGAATTAATTACCATTATTAATGATTATTACTATGCCGCTGCTATTGTTTGTCATCTATATTGTTGTTATTTGAAAGAAATCATATCAATGACCAATAAAAATGAATTTACGATTTAAATCTTTGAATCATAGATGTTACACGAGGTTTCAACACGCACATTATCAGATATTCACGTGACATTTCACAGATAGATATAGATGCGTAGTATTTGATAATTGAGATTTGAAACAATACAAAAAGTTTTTATATATATAGTTATTAGACAAAATTTTGGTGTTAATATTAAAGTATTAGAATTTAAAGTACTTTGAATAATAAAAAGTGTTATTATTCATAAATTAAATAATAATAAAATTACAATGTCGGAAAAAAAGAATTCAATAAACAAAAAAAATTCCTATAATCAACTAAAAAAAAGTGATTCAGGTATTTTTATATTATTATTTATTTAATATTTGGATTCATATGTTAATTTATTAATATATCGATGTATTGATTGATATATTGAAAAAGATATTGATGATTTGTTCATACCGCCTGGTCATCAAAAGGAAATCTCATCCGCGAATATAAAGTATATATATATATATATTCACATAAACTAGGTGATATTAAGTTTAATATATATACAAATTATTTTTTTTTTAATATAAATATAGCTTAGAAGCAACCGAATCAAAAGATTATAGAGGTGGCGGTGATTTTTCAAAATTTGAATCTACAAATCCAACAACTCATAATGTGACGGTGAGATGCTTTGGTATTATTTTTTTCTTGAAAAATTTATTTATATCTGTAACGATTTCTTTTAATTCCCATTTTTAACAAATTATCTACTTTGTTTTTTTTTAAAAATTTCATGTTTGGATAAATTGAATTTGTTTAGCAAGCAAAAAATGAAAATACTGATGGAATCCATAAAAAAAGAAAACGAAGTTCTTCTGAAATTGCTGGAAATGATCCTGTGGAAAATAATTCTGCTGTAAAAACAAAAGATCAAGTTCCAATCAAAACCTTTTATGAATACGTGGAACAATTTGCTCGAGATTTTAATCAGGATGATTTGGATTTTCTAACAGTAAAGGTAAATCTATATATAAATAAAATGATCAAAGCTTTCTATAACAGCAGTATATTTATTCTGAAATTACATTTTAATTTTTGGAAATATAAATATTTAAGGTTTATATCAATATATTTGTATTTTCCTTTATTGTTTAAAAGCCCAGGGATTTAAGATATTATGAATTTCCTAAACTTGGAAGACATTATTCAGAAGTTTGGGAGGAGGAAGATCAAGCAGCTCTTTTATCACAAAAAACAAATAAAATAGATGATCAATATTCAAATGGAATGTCTGGTTCATCAAAAATTGAAATCACAGAATGCGAGGAATTTCTTGGGCCGGTAACAGAACGTTTAGTTTCATTGTTCATGGATTACAAGGAATCAATGCAACCAATCGTCCAACAAGAAAATTTTCAACACTTTTCACAAACAAATGGTCATAACAATAATGGTCATTGTGGTATTAATAACGTTCTGACAGAAATTGATGAAAAAAATCCTATAAAGGAAGTAATTACACGAAGTATTGTTATTGACAATGAAAGGATTTTAAGAGAGTTGAAAGCTGTTGATCTTACAGATAAGGAAGACGTGAGTGCATTTTATTATATCTGAACTCTGATTTTGTAAAAAATTTATATATACCTGTACTACATGTTTTTTTCTATATATTCAATTTAGCTTAAATGGGATGAAAGAGATGACGATGAAATAAGTATCGAATTACATCATCTTCAAAAAAGATTGTTGGAATTGGAGAGGAGGAATGCTTATCGTAAATCTGTCATCAAAGAACGTGTAAAGCGTATCATGGGTTATCAACAATATCTTCATTATGAAGCAGAAATTAATACCGAAATCGAGAATTCTTATTTATCACGCTTTGTATTTATTTTTATTTTTTTTTTCCTTTCTCGATTTATATTTCACAATATTTTTCTTTTACTAAATTTCATTTATAATCCATTTTCATGTATAAAAAAAAAAAGTCTGAAAAGGATAAAAATAAGACCGTAAAGAAAGCAAAAACCAGTTCTAAAAAAACTGCTTGTACAGATGAAGAAATAAAAAAGCATATTGAAAGACGTAAAGAATTAAAAAAATTAATTGGAGAGAAATGGGGAGATACAGAAACTTTCAAAGTACCTTTTGAATCTATTTTCAATGAAGAAGACATGAACAATTATGTGTATAAAGTTGATGGATCGGTTGAAACACCTATTGATAAAAATAATATTTAACATTTATCTTTTATCACTTTGATGAATATTGTCAACAAAAAATATTTATTTGTGATGAAAGTTGGAAATTGAAAACAAAATTTATATTATGTATTATGGTGGTCGGATTATTATTGTATTAAAAAAAATTTTTGCAATAGAAATAAAATATAAATTAGAACAAAGTATTTTTTAATTTATAATTCCATCATCATTGTTTAAAATATTTAGAATTTCTCTTTAAAAATTTATCAATACTTTCACCAGGATGACCAATAATTCTTTGCAAATCATCAGAAATCACCGCATCTCCTTGTTTGATCCAATCCAACAAATCCAAAAATGTATCAATGTAAATCTTATTAATTAATAATTGTTCACCACCGCCATCTCCATTTCTTTCAATCAAAGAATATAAATATTTCTTTAAGCCATCACGAGAAGTTTCTTCATAAGTTATATTCTTTCCAATCAATTCATTAAATTTTTTAACAACTTGCTCGCAAGATAAATTTTCATGACCTGTAAATGTTAAAATAAATGATTTTTGCTCCTCTGTATTTTTTGTTACATTATCATTTGACGATGCTGACAATACCAATTGCTGCTGATCCATATGAGATAGTGCCATGATGAGTATCAACATGGCCTTCCCAATGTAATTTAAATCGATCGGTGCAAATTTGTGTTGTATTGGATTTAATGTTAATTTAATTTTGCCATCTTCATCAATCATTGGTTTATAAAATAACAAATTTTCATAAAATAATCCCAATCTATCATTTAAAAAATAGATAATATATATATATATAAATATATAAAAGATAAATTAATAATATGATTATTTATTAACGCATACCTTATAACGCAAAATTTTTTAATGTTTTGTTTCAGCATATCTTCAATCTCCTTATAAACCTTCAAAAATTCAAAATGCGAATCAGCGCCAATACTGGAAATCATTCCGACATGATTTATTTTGACTTTTTTAAATGTTTGAATTGTTATTTCAGCAAATTGAACTTTTTTCTCGTCAGATTCTGTAACAAAAATCACAACATCCAAACTTCCTGAAAAGGCATTCTCTAAAGTCTCCACTTTATCATAATCAATCAAATGAATCTCTGCCCCTAATTCTTTTAAATCTTGCACATGCTTTTCATTTTGTTGCTTGGCTATGGCACGAAATACTGAAATATCATGACTATGATAGTAGAGCAGGTAGTATGCCAATGAATGGCCTATATATTCATCTGTAGCAGTGACTGCTATTGAAAGTTTAATATTTTCATGGGTTGTTGACCTTGTAGGTTTTGATGTTGGTTTTGATTGGTTTTTATCTATGGTAGATGAAGTTGTTAGTATTCTTGTTGGTTTTGATGAGGTTAATTTAGGTTTATTGGTGTTGATAGTTGATAATGAAGAAGAAGATGATGATGGTGATGATGGCAATTTTAAATCAGTAAATGTAGCATTACTATTATTTAGTAATAATGATTTGTTGTTTTCTTTAGTGAATCTAATATGTTGGTTTCTATTATTTTTGGTGGATGTGAAAAGAACAGGTTGACGTGAAGTTTGTTGTTTATCTTTAATAGCAAGAGTTTTTTTGGCGTTTACAGATAAACTAGCTACAAAACTAAAGCAAAATTATTTTTAAAATATTGCTGCTGGCTTTACTAATTCGACATCTATTATATATATGTAAATTAAATTTACATTTACAACTTACTCGTCTAATCTGGAATCAAATTTTATTTTATAAATATCAAAAGATTTTCTTGAAGCAATTCTAACCGCTTCTTCTGCATCTGTAGCACCTTCACGTATTATTAATTCCAAGGCGTCAATATAAATGTTCAATCCATTAACATTATCTTCCAACATTGTTAAAACCATCCCCGATACACAAGCCCTCATTTGTTTGTTTTGACTCCGCATTGCTTCTTTAAATGTTGGCATGAGGTTTGATGATTTTGTTTCACGAATTATTGTCCCTAAACATTTATTTGCTCTTTTGATGAACACTTTATTTGTACGATTGAAAAGTTTTAGGATGCTGGGTACAAATATTTCAGATATTGATATAAATCTTGGACCGAGTGCTTTGGCTATTTCTTCGACCAGTTCAATTGCCGTGCTTGATAATTTCGATCTTGTCGTAAGTACCTTTATAAAATCATTATAAATATAAATGTAAATCTGAATATAATATCCTTATTAAATTGATTAATAAATAAAATATTTTTATTAAAGAATAATAGGTTTACAGAATTTTGAATTGGGTATCTTAAAGATTTTATTCCAGCAATATAACTTCTTTCATAATGAGAAACACCTTTGCTAGTGATTTCAATTAATTGGCTTAACGCATTATCAAATTTTTCCCAATTATGTTCAGATTCTTTTTCTTCGAATAATACTAAAGTTTTATTCACTACTGATTCAAATCGTAAAGCATCACTCTTATATTAAAAATAAATATATAAGTATATATAAATATGTATGTAAATAAGATTATCAAATAGATTTTTTTTTTAATTATTACTTTTGCATCTGTTTGATTCCCAGTCATTACATACAATACTAAGATCAAAAATGGTAAATGGTAATTAAAAAAAATGACAAATCTATATTTTTTCAAAATAACCGATTAAAAAACGCGTATTAATTAATATTGAGTGATGTTTTTTGCACCCAAAATGAATCACGCGACATTATCTTACATAACAAAAAAGTCAACAACATGACCCCCCGGAAACTGCCCTAATTTTGGTAAAATTAATAGTAAATCTTTTCAACAGTAATAATATTATTTTTATTATTAACGAGAGATGGAGAGAAAGAAAGGTTATCTATAAACTCCCACTTGTAAATATTATTATTTATTTCTTTGTATCGCGATCAAATTTTTTATCATATAAACTTGATATATACTGAATTCTTGGACGATATTTTATTTATTATTATTATTATAGCATTAAGAATGCCGAGTTATTTAAACACGCATGTATATATATATCTCTTTAAAGGAACGATTTACTGACAGGAGGCTTGATAATATTCAATTACTACAACGGTCATCAATATATATATATATATATCTGTAATTTAGTTGTCAAAAATTTTCTTCAACAGATAATTCTTTTTCTTAAAAAAAAAAGTGATCGATAACAAACAAATTTGTTTGATGTGAATAGGCAATCTTATGCCACTATGTGTACTATGCGCGAAAAATAAATAAATGACACGCTGATGGGGAGATATTATCTGCGGTCTTTCCACCCAGTTGGGATTTCCAGTTTCAATTATTGAAGTATTTGAACTAATGCAATACATCATACTATCTATCATAGAGTATCCCAATGTTATCAATATCAAAGGACTAATGAATCATCCGTCCCAAATTTTCCGTTCGGCGCTGTCTTTCATGCATTACTGATCAGTAAAAAATCAAATCCAGCTTTGCTCAGCATTAATTAGAATAATAGCAAGCTATTGAACAATAGTTCCAAAGTAAAAAAATGAAACAATATTTACTAATGAATATGTTAGAAATAATAACTAGCGCAATTCATTATAGATTTATACATATAATATATACAGAAACAATAAACCTTGATAGCATATATTTATTTCATTTCAATTGAAAAATACGTTCAAGACTAAAACACATTTGCGGAGTTACAAGGGGGGAAGACAGATAACTACACAGCCCATAGACTATTTGATATGTATCCATTTTCTTAGGCTCCACTACTAGCATCTACACTAACAATTTTGCTATTTACCCATGGACTGATCTTATTTTTGTCATAAAAATTTTTTACTATTACTATATACCTTAATAGTTCCTACCTCTTCTAAAGAATACCATTTTTATACCATGAACCTCTTTAAAACAAGACTGTACAGTTAAGGTAATGGTACTTGGCCTGAGAACTGACAGAAGGATTAATGGATTCCGTTTTATTTCTTTGATTGGATTTCAAAGCTTTGGTTCTCTGAACAACTACATAACCCGGTCTAGAATATCCATGGCTCTTCTTCTATCCCCTCCCTGATGGATAACTCAGGAAGAAGTAATATGTTCTAGTTAATTAAATAAAAATTGATGATTTGTTTCATTATAGATCAATGAAAAAATTCCAAAGATACAATTGCATTATATGTTTCTCTGAAATCATTGATTCATAAAAAACAACATGTTTTTTCTTTATTTAAATTCGAAACAACATTGGTGTTTTTCTCTAACTCTGAAGAACAACTAAAGAATGGCATTAATTTTCTTTGTTTAAATTTAAAACAAAATTGATTTTTTTCTCTAACCCACGAAGAACAACTGATTTGCAAAGAACAACATTTTCTTTATTTAATTTAAAACACCCATTGATTTTTTTATCTAACTCACGAAGAACAACATAAGTACATAAATCTTTATTTTAAATATAAAACATGCTTGGTTCTTGTTTAAAAGTAATAACTTACAACATAATTCTTTACATGAATGAGTATTTATGTTTTATATGTGTATTTTCAATTGCACTTATTTGCACGCTTGCGTGTGTTAAAAAATTTAACCCTGGTAAATTTATCTCACCAGCTTTTAGGTGATATGAAAATTATTAATTTTAAAGGTCATAATAAATTTGATGGAAAGTTCTGTAATCATAAATTCAGTAAGTTTGGGTTAATTGGATCTAGATGAGTTCATGAAAAACCACCTGAAAAAACCAAAGAAATTTACTTTAATGATGATCAGAACCAACTGATTACTCTAATTCATTAGATAACACCAGTTGAGAAGATAACAGAATAGGCAAAGAAAAAAAAGATGCACTTCAAAATCTCTTTCTGAGAGTAAAATAATGTCTTTATTATTATAGGAATTGGTATTAAATGACATCATAGAAAATAGGATTATATTGAAATGATGGGATGGGATTATTATTGTATATCATCAATCGATTTCTTTTTAGTTGTAATTTCTATTATCTGAGTTTAAAAACAAGTGCGCCCAATTAGTTTGTTTGATGATGGTTCTTGTATGGATTATTTCTTTCTGTTAATGAAATCCCATGATTTTTAATACAATAACAACATTTTTCTAGTACAAATGGAAATTATAAAAGGCCAAAATGGCTTGCTTTTTTATACAATCAAGGTTATCTTTTGTTGATATTTTACAAATAAATATAACATAATTATAAATAAAATATATAATCTAAATAAATAATAAAGTAAAAGAAATTGGGATGTTTCCATTTGTTTTCTTGGTACTTAATTGCAAACATGTAATGGAAAAATTAAATAATAAAAGATAATCTTTTGCTTTATTCAACTAAGAGAAAAATACATAATGATTTTATATATAATAAT